GGGGGGGAGGGGGCTATAACTTTGCAGAAAAAAGTAATAAAAGATTGTCAGGGTGTGACAAATATCTCTGGGTTAGGAGGGGTCTACTGGCTTAAAGACCCCTTTGGATTTTATAGAAATAACAGAGATAACTAATAGAATGGAATAAACTTATAACGCAGACTAACACGTTAAAGCGGGAAACAAATAAGGCATTTAAGAATTATGCCGAGATTGTGACAGACGAGTTATCTCTTCCTCAAGAACGAGTATCCTTTCATACGGATAGTAAGGTCGTACTTGGCTACGTCACCGACACAACTCGACGCTTTTACGTCTACTTAGCGAACAGAGTGTGCAGGATTCATACAAACCAGATCAGTGGTTCTACATCTCTACTGAGAACAACCCCGCAGACATTGGTACTCGATAGATTGCTCCCGCTATCTTGGAAGAGAGCACGTGGATTCAAGGACCTAAGTCAGGTTTTCTGGAAATTGTATCATCAGCTGGATGCTCAAGCTTCCCCTTGGTTGCACCGGACGAGGATACGGAAATTCGACCAGAAGTCGTCAATGTGGCCGAAACAGACGTAGTGGACGTTGACAAACCTCCTCGGACTTGGTCAGATCCATTTGAGAAATTCTCAAGTTGGAAAAAACTACTGCTGTCCATATCTCTTATCAGACACCTCACTAAGTAATTCAAGTCAAAACACGGTGAATGCTTTGGATGGCACAAACGTGACACTTATCGGTCGGTTAATAGTTGTGCAGTGGCAGAAGCGTTCATAATCAGAGAACTACAAATGGGGTTCTATGGGGACATCAGGAAGTGTCCAAAGGAACTGTCGCCCTACCTGGATGAAAAGGGCATAATTTGTGTTGGAGGAAGGCTACAAAGGTCAGAGTAACCGAGAGGTGAAAAAAAGCTATTTTGAACCCCGGCCGACATCATGTCGCAACGCTGCTAGCTCGCCATTTCCATAACTCTGTCCAACATCAAGGAACCCATCTAACAGAAGGCGTCAAAAGATCTGCAGGCTTTTGGGCCACTGGGGGCAAAAGACTGGTGTCATTCGTGATTCCTCAATGCGTGAGGTGTCGTAAACTTAGAGGAACGTGTTCTCAGCAGAAGATGGCAGATCTTCCAATGGATCGTGTGTCACCTATCACACCATTTACGCATGTCGGTGTCGACGTATTCGAGCATTGGGACATTGTTAACCGCAGGACCAGGGCCGGTACAGCTGGAAGCAAGCGCTGGACGGTGCTATTTACTTGCCAGTCATGTAGGGCTATCCACATCAAGTTGCTTGAGGAAATGAGTTCCTCATCGTTTATAAACGCAGTTAGAAGGTTCTATGCTATTCGAGGGAAAGCTGCTTTTTGTTCCGACCGAAGGACTAATTTTGTTGGTGCCACCACAGATCTGGGAGTTACAGCAATCTTTATAGAGGACCGAAATGTCAAGGAATTTCTCCGTGAATCTGGCACCATCTGGGGATTTAACCCGCCTCATGCGTCACACTTTGGAGGCTCTTGGGAACGCATGATTGGTGTTGCAAGACGCATACTAGACTCAATGTTGCTCAACAACAATCGTAATCTAACGCACAGAGTTTTATCTACTTTCATTGCCGAAGTTATAGCAATAATCAACGCACGACCATTGGTTCCTGTTTCGACAGATGCAGATGACCCATTTGTCCCGTCTCCAGTGACCATTTTGACACAGAAAACAGGAAGTCGGGTTGAGTCTTTCGGACACTTGGACCAGAAGAACATAATTTGATCACAGTGGAAACACGTACAAGTGTTGGCTGAGAAATTTTGGAGTCGATGGCGGGAGGATGTCGGGAGGATGTCGAACCGTGAATCCTGCAACCTACAGGAAGGATATATTGTCCTTATGAAGTACGAACAGGCAGCGCACAATGATTGGCCCCTCGGCGTAATCACTCGTACCTTTCCAATTGAGGATGTACTTGTGAGGAAAGGTGAAATTCAAATATCCCGAGAAAGAAAAAAGTAAAAATTCGTCCGCTCAGTCACTCAGGTTGTGGTTCTTTTTTCCAGAGATTAGGACTCTTAGTGATAGAGACTATGTTGTGCATACGTTGTAACTGTGCATGTGATATGAACATCACCTCATCCATGGACATCAGATCGAACATACTCAATTTGACATGTGTCTTCTTCGTAGCCAAAGGAACTAGCAAATTTGAACATACGTTTTATTTCATACTTAATTTGTGTGTATCGATATTAAGACCTTTGAGTTTTGCTAGGAAATTTAGTTAGGGATATTATTCATATCAGGCGGGGAGTGTAATGGATCCAGGAAATCTCTCCCTTTACACATGTGATCGGCACTAGTTAGCGTTATAATAGAGTTACCGGCCTTTGTTATTGTTTTATTTCCCTCCGAAAGCAGCATGGTTTTCTGCGATTGCGGTATTTGTAAATTGTAGCTATGATATGGCCCAACACGTTGTAAGTGAATATTTTCATGTTCTATGTAAATACTCTAGAACTGTGGTGAAGCTATTTGCACGGGTTGTGTTCGTTATTTTAGGTATATAAACAAAAAATAGACGTAATTATGATTTGAATGGTCATTTCACTACTGCATTGATTAATTTTATGCTCTTGTTTAATTGTCGAGCTTTTATACAAATTGCTAATTATTTGTGTTAGTGCAATACAACTTTATTTACCAGGTATAAGTAGATAATTCAGTGAGTAGAATAAATATCTATTTTGTAACAAACAAAACCAGAACACCAAATTAATTTTGTTTGTTATTTCAGGATTTACTATATACTTACATCTGTCAATAAACAACTGTGGAATCAGAACGATGTACTTTGCTGTGTTTGTACAACTTAAGGCGGAACATGAATATCGGCGTCGCGTGCCGAGTGGACAATTCAGAATGGGTAATTACGCATATAATGATTATCTTATCAGATGAAATTGAGAAAATGAATTCATCAGCTAAACTCAGAAGACTATCTCATCGGACAGCAACACAGACGTTTTTCACAGTAAATGGTTTCAAATTATTATTCTCTTGTCTTATATTTCTTAGCTGTTTGCAACAAAATTGAACGTGCATCAAATTAGTACACGTTTCCTTTGAGCATTGCCCTTGTTTCTGGTTAGCTCTGTCTCGTCAATGACAGGCGGGGTTTGGTTCGCTACAAGTGGTAAGGCATTGCTGTAATTGTTTTTCTTCTTTATTTCCGAATAAATTTGAACAAAGTAGTGTCACAAATTATTTCAACTTACCGTAAAAGTTAAACGTTGATGCAAGTATCCATTCACATGATAAATTATTAATCATCTTGAAAAATCTACGCCAAGTCAACGACAGCTAATCGAAGTACAACGTTGCTCATCGCAGTCAGTTGCACATATTTTTAGAATCTTTATCAATAAAAAAACCCTTATCCAATCAAGTCTGGAGAAAAATCAGTAATGACATCATAATTCACCTAAATAGGCAAAACCCGGGACTTACATACATGTTGTTGTAATATTTTATGTTGGGAATTAGATATTACTCCTGCACGGGATTGGATAAAGTTGACTTCCTACTTAACAGCAGGAATGCGTCATTTTGAATCAGCTTCGGATTGCAGTTGTACACTTTTTCTGTTAGTTATTGAAGGTCTCGTAAGACTAGTTTACAATGTATTACCCGTTGTATAGCTAAATACAAAATATCATTGTGTGACCGCTCCATGCACCATAAAATAGCGTGCGCACATCGTGCATACATCGTGCGCACATGGTGCGAACAACTGTGCGATTTTACAATCGTTTGCATACCGTGCGCACATCGGTCGCACACCATACATCGTTACGCTGTGCGACCCCACAACTGTACATGCAAATATTTCCATTACACCGCATGGTATTTGCTGTATCATATCCAGCACAGAGACATAATTACCGTGAAGTGTGTACATCCGGATGCTATTAAGCATACTTCCGGTACAACGCATATACACAAAGGGCGGCCAAACCGTGTGCAAGCCGCGAGAAGACATACGGCTATATATTACTTTAGTGGTTATATGTCACTGTCCTCCATGAACCCCTATTAAATTTGCTACATGTTTCACGGTGTTTCCAATTATGTTGTAATTACGAGAAATAAGTAACTCTTAGTTTCGAGATAACTGATTCGTTACTAAGATATATGACAAGGTAAATACAAATTTGTCGCAATTACAATATAACTCTGTCATGATTATGAGGCGATTTACACGTAATTACGAAAACGTTTACATGTAATTACGAGAAAACAAACGTATTTACGAGAATTGATTATTGCTCTTGTGAAACTTTCGTAGAGTACACATTTATACAGGCATTTTCTTTTAAGGCTAGTTTCCATTAATGGTCTAGTGTTATTTGGAATATACAGTTTGGAGCAAACAGAACTTGGTAGCCTAGTGTACCGGAGTTAACAAGAAAAGTGAATTCTAGTTCAGTAGCCTGTGCATTGGAGTTCACATCCCTGTGCACTGGAGTTAACTCTGAAGTGAACTGAGTTCACATCGATATGCACTGGACATCATCATATTATGTCTGGCCTTTTCATCGTTTATACATACCATGATTTTCTCCACTCCCGTCTGCTCAATAAATCAATAGATAAACAAAATATTAGATGTTACCTATTTACATACTTAAAATGATTTAAGTAGTATCTTTTCATAAAAATATATATAATAACTATGAAGTATGATGCCCTATTAAATTATTAGTGCAAGCATTAACTTGGATCCGTGGTACATGTATATATATAAGTTTTCAATACTTTGTCTTAGTGACATAATCACCATTAAAGTTCATTTATATTGATATATGTATAACGTCTTCATAAACTATATAAATATATCGTTTTATTAATTAGTACGTCAATCATAGGTCCTGCAGGAAACTACGTGTATTGTGACTAAGAAAAGATTATTTATAATTTGATGAAAATATTTATTATGGTACCTTTTGTGATGTGTTAGAATAAATAATTCAAGTGGCTAGAATACTAACTTACACTGTTAGGTTAAAGTCACTGTTTTGAAGTAGAATTGTTCCCGAGGCTGTTATTTCCTGACAAAGGGACAACCACAGTATCTTACTTGTAAACGTGTACTGATTTACATGTGTATTAACTGGACAAACAATGGGCTGGATTAATTGACAGGATCGAATGCCTTCACACAAGGTGTTCAAGATTAGGTACAGTCCATAAAAATACCATGTGACCATAAGTGAATGGTCAGTGGGTGATTACTGCCCATAAACTCTCAGATAGATATCGTATTGAACATGAAAATATGTGTCAGGGAGTGGTTACATTGTCCTCGCATCTTTCAATCTCCCACTGAAGTGAAGTTGTAGCTGTATGATTAAAACTTGAGGTTCACTATGATGTAACAAACACGCTATCTACAGTGATCTGTACTTTAACTTAGGTACACGAAGGGGAAATTAACATGAATCAAAACATCGTTACACTATCAATGACGGCATAGGTGATGAGGACAAAACAGTTCATTTTCAGATAAATAGGTCTGTCAGGGGAACATTATTATCAAAAACAGATTTATAATCTGCCTTCAGAATTGTACCTGCGCGACCTTATGACTATGAATAGTTATGGATGAAAATAGGGGATCCTATTATTATGATAAGTGTCTACATATTGGATGTTCAATTTCTTGTCAGCTCTTCAAAATGGCTCTGCTCTCCACTGGGTTATGCAAAATTATTTTCAAGCTCCAGGGGTCTTTCAGGTGCTAGATGATTTTTCATTTATAGATCCAGCCAGTACTTACCAGTGACAAGTAGCTTTAAAAAAAATTCCTGAACACGTGTAAGCTGGTGGGGGTCCCTATCAAGCAGCAATAACTGTTACACCTACCACATGCCTTATCGTTTTGGGTATATAACTCGACACACAGGACATGGTGGCTAGATTGCCAAGTGACATTGCGGAAAAGATATCTGCAGCTTTGTCAGAATTTTTACAAAGGCAAAAGGTTACCCTTAAAGAGCTCCAATCTTTTCAACTTTGCTTGTCGGGTTCTAGTTCCGGGGAGGACCTGGTTAAGGCGACTGATTGATTTAACAAGAGGGCTGACAAAGCCTCACCATCATGTCACCATCCCACTTTATAGACGACAACTTAATCTACACGGACACGTGGGAGGAGCGCTTGGAAATTGTTCACAAGTTGTTTGACCGTCTCAGGAAGGCAGGACTGACAGCAGGACCCAGTAAGTGTTCTATTGGATGCAAGAGTCTTTCTTGTTTGGGACATATAGTGGGAGATTAGAAACTTCAATTGGAAAACTCAAATATGAAAGCCGTTGGGAATGCGCCTATGCCGTCAACGAAGAAGCAAGTGAGGTCTTTTCTTGGTTTGGCAAGTTTTTATAGAAAGTTCATTCCCAACTTCTCTGCAATAGCTGTCCCGCTTACCGACCTTAACAAGAACGTGTGTACTAACAAAGTTGTTTGGGAAGATGTTCACACCAGAGCATTATCTACGTTGAAGAAGTTGTTGACGGCAAGACCAGATTTAAAACTTCAATCTAATAAAATTAGATTTAATAAAATCTTCAAAGGAATTCATTTTGCATACGGATGCATCTGACACATGATTGGGAGCAGTTCTTCAGAAATTTGAGCCATACTTTTATTGAAGAGAATTTGTGCTGGAGACGGATCATCACCCACTCACATACCTACACAAATCCAAGACAATCAACGCAA